GCTTACGACCGGCGACATCAGCGAATGAACCTCTGTTCGTCCCTGCTGGTTTGAGTGGGCGTGGAGCCTGCGTTGTCAGCTGCCTTGCTGGTGGGCGCTGGGTGGATGGGCGAGTGTTTGGGTTTGCTGCGGCAGCCTCCTTTCTCATCTTCGCCGCCATCGCTGCTTTGTGAGTAGGGCAGCCCTTCCAACTGGCGACGTGGCAGCCGTTGCAGTTGCAGCACTTCGGTGGCTCCTCGTTCGGCTTGGGGCACTGTTTCGCGTCGTGGGGACCAGCACACTTGACGCACCTGTAAGCAAGATTACAGTTTAGTGAGGAATGACTGTAACGCTGGCAACGGAAGCATTGGGGGAGGCCACGGCGCGGCTCAAAGGGTGTCATCGATACTCTGACACCCATCAAGTGAGACAGCGACCATAGCTTCGCCCAGGTTCCGGTCCTTTGCACAGTGACAAAAAATGAATTTACAGGAAATGACTCTCCATTTTGGCGGCGTGGCATTGGGGCGACATAGGTGGGAGAGAACCCCTCCGCTCGTAGCTCGGCCTTGATCACCTCGACGTCCGTCGAGTGGTGGAGTCCCCTCAGCGTCGCCTTGACCAGGACGTCAGCCTCCATGGCGAACGTGTGGAATTCCACTCTCTTGAGGGCGAGGTACTTCTGCGCTCGACGGAAGTCGTCCGTTGTCTCGCAGATCAGGTGCAGGCGGTCACCGGCGAACTTGGCGTCGAACTTGATGCCTTCGTCACGCAGCTGCATCAGGAACAGCGGCCACGTTGAGGTGACCTCAGCCGGTGAAATGACGATGGGCGGGATCCTCGTCTTGGGAGGGCTGGCAGCAGGGCGTTGTGTCACAGTGGATGTCGAGGCGTCAGACTCGCCACCAGACTGTCCAGACTGGCCTCGCCTCCTCTTCTTCGGCTTGACGGACGTGAAGGTGACTTCATCTGCGTCCTCTGTCATCTCGATCTCGTCGTCACCCATCCTGTGAAAAACACATGGACAGTATCAGAGACAGACAGACAAAAGGTACTTGAGGGGGAGGTTTGGGTGAGCCGTAGGTTTTGATTACCGTAGCAAGGCAGCAGGTACCAATAAATTGGAGACCAGACTCACACCGAGCAGGTTATCGCCAACCAGGGCTGTGGGGAGGTCGTGGAGGCGGGCCTGCACGCAGGTTATCACACCTAGTCCACTAGAGGGGGTTCGGTAGGGTAAGCGTGGGGGTGGGCCTGAATTAACAGGGAAGTCACCGAGTCCACAGGGTAAGCCGTAGGTTTGGTTTCCGTAGCAAGGCAGCAGGTACCAATAAATTGGAGACCAGGCTTACGCCGAGCAGGTATACCTCACCAGGGCTGTGGGAAAGTCGTGGAGGCGGGCCTGCACGCAGGTTATCACACCTAGTCCACTAGAAGGTGTTTTGGTAAGGTAGGGTAAGCGTGGGGGTGGGCCTGAATTAACAGGGAAGTCACCTAGTCCACAGGGTGGGCCGCAGGTTTGGTTCCGTAGCAAAGCAGCAGGTACCAATAAATTGGAGACCAGACTTACGCCGAACAGGTACCTACACCAGGGCTTTTGGGGAAATGGGCGAGAGTCAGGTATTTGTAGAATAATTACCACCCGCTGCGAGGTCCGTCTGGTCAGGCGTTGTCGGCAGGCGGGACTGGTCAGGGCCGGGGAGGCGCTCGGCTTGGCTCTAGCGGCTGGGCTGCGACGGGCGCTCGGCTGTCAGGCCGGGCGGTCGGGGCAGGCGCTCTGCTTGGCTCTAGCGACTGGGCTGCGGCGGGCGCTCGGCTGTCAGGCCGGGCGGTCGGGGCAGATGCTGGGCTGGGCGGGACTCGGCTGTCAGGCCGGGCGGTGGGGCAGGGCAGGCGCTCGGCTGTCTGGCCGGGCTGAGTGTCGGACGATCGCTGGTGCTTGCACTCTGGATGTCCTTGAAGTGGAGTTGGATGTTCTAAGAGCGAAGAGGAGCACAGGTGTCCACCCTTCGGAGTCTCGGAGTAGAATGATGAATGCTCAGAATGGATCTTAATCTGATGCGGCGTGCACTCTGGACGTACCGTAACGGAGACGAGGGAAACAATACGCCAGCGCCAGCACTAACGAAAAGGCCAGCATTAGAACGAGCGTGCGGTTTTTATTAAATAACTCGTAAACCGTGCGTTTTAGAGAGACAACACAGGTTAGATGAAATCGAGTAAAATACACGCCCAGTACGTTGACGCAATCGGATCTCGCGTATAAAAACGCGTTTTCGAGTAACGAGCGATTAAAGTTTTTCGACTAAAGCACTAATAAAACGGTCACGTGTCGTCGTAGGGGCTTTTAGCGCGTGCGAGACGTTAGAGGAGGTAAAGACGAATAGAACGACACCCTTACGGTGTGTCTGGCATCAAAGATAACCTCCCTAGTGGGGTTTGAAGTTGTGGCCATTTGGCGGCGTCGGCGAAATCCTTTGATCGAGATAGATATATATAGCTCTGGCGGAGAAATAAGGGAGTGATTTGAGTATATATGTGGGGGCGTGGCCAACTAGTGACATACTATTGGTCGATCAGAGTGACCAACAGTACGAGCGGATTCGTCTAGCGGACTCTGCCGTTTCAGTTTCGCCGTGGTTAAGTGAGATTTTGCCCGTACTGAAGTCGTAAGCATACCCCGTGTGGTAAGAGTCACACTCGGTTGGTAAACGATTTCATACCATATAACAATGTTTGACAAAATGTAAACAAAAGAATAATAACATGATGATATGTTTTAAACAATAATAAAAATCATCAGTTGGGCTAATGCGCTATCTGACTTTTGATACTAAAAATATTCATTCCATTTGACTTTGGATACAGCTGTGATTTTTGTTTTGGTTTGTAGTAATTATCATTACAGTGTTATTATTTTTATTTAATTATTTATTTATTTTAGGTGGTTCCTACTTTGACTCTTTTAAACTTTCTTCACCTTTTCATTTTAACCACGTAATTTGTGTTTTATAAATTTGAAATTTCATAGAAAATACCGTAACATTTCGTCCCACTCGCTTTTACAGTTGGCTGTATAAGCTAATGGGGTAGGTGACATTTTGGCCCGACGAAAAGAAAAAAAAAAAAAAAAATACAACGGTTGTGGATTGTAGTTCAGGTAGTAAAAGGCCCATGACCTGTATACTTTGCAGCCTACTAGCTAAACCTGACCTAACTTAAACTAACCTAACCTAACCTAACCTGACCTAACCTAACCTAACCTAACCTAACCTAACCTAACCCAACCTAACCTAACCTAACCTAACCAAACCCAACCTAACCCAACCCAACCCAACCCAACCCAACCCAACGTAACCTGACCTAACCTAACGCAATTTGTGGTGAGTCAATTTTGAATCTAATGCATTTTGTTCGTTTTAAATCAAACTGTTATTAGACATAGATATGTAATCACTAAAGGTAAACTTAAACTATTTTCTTATGACATATTACAAAAAAAAAGAAATCAGCATTCTGACACATAACCTTCTCCAATAAGCTCCAATAGTTAAAAATCACAAAATTTGCAATTAGCTAAGAACATATTAATTTTCTTTTAAAATTTTTCTCCAAAAATCCGATATTTCAGTAATTTTTTTTTTTTTTTTTTTTTTTTAAATAACACAAGTTACAATAACTTTAAACCGTAATTTTTACGAAAATGGGTTTTGAAGCATTACTTTTTAAAGAATTTAAAGGACAATGACATAACTGAATTTTTAAGAGATTCGTTCGAGTCATTTTCGAGAAAATCCGATTTTCCGTTATTTTATGGGGGTTTTATTTAAAAATCCCCATTAAAAAATCAATATAAAAAAAAAATTGAAAAAAAAACCCTTAACAATGTTTAGGGTCATAACGTACTAAGTTAAATCGAAACCGGCTTATTTTCTAAAATACTATTATTATTATTTTTTCTTTTTTTTTCGATGGGGCTTTATGGGGAAATAACATAATTTACAATAACTTTAGGACCGTGGTTTTTACACAAAAGGGAGTCGTACCATTTTTGTACATAGCTTAAAGGGCTAAAACATACTAAATGTTATATCAAAATCGTTCGTGCCATTTTTTAGAAAATCCTATTTTTCAGTTCTTAAATTTTTGACGAAAACAATACTTTATCCATATAGAACATACGTACAGTACAACGGTTTCGTATGGACAGGTTTTAAAAAAAATCCAAAGATGTTATTATGTGAAAAAAAAAAATTGTTATTTTCGACTTTCTCTTTTTATTTCGAACGAAAAAGGATGAATCCTAATAGGAGAAGTATGATAATTCCAATTGAATGTACGCCTTTATCACTTTGCTCTTCGTTATCATTATAGAGTCCTTGGTGTCTTAAATCTTCAACAAGAGTGTTAAGATACGCTCGTTTGGTTGTATTTCTTAAGAATATTGTATTTTAATTAACACACCTGAATTCAATTAACTTGCAAATGACGAAGGTTAATCATGTCAACATCTGAACGATGAACGGTAAACCAACGGAGTAGGTAAGAATGTGAACGTTATAGCTAGTGTAAAAAACGACCGAATGAGTGGTGGCCTTTATAAAGGCCGTTTTTTGCGCTCGACGACGAGGTTCCAGCTTACGCTTTCTTCTCTGTCTTCTTGGGCAGCAGGACTGCCTGGATGTTAGGCAGTACTCCGCCCTGAGCGATGGTGACACCGCTGAGCAGCTTGTTGAGCTCTTCGTCGTTACGGATTGCCAGCTGGAGGTGACGAGGGATGATTCTGGTCTTCTTGTTGTCACGGGCAGCGTTGCCGGCCAACTCGAGAACTTCGGCAGCGAGATACTCCATGACGGCGGCCAAGTAGACGGGAGCGCCGGCACCGACTCGCTCGGCGTAGTTGCCCTTGCGCAACAGACGGTGGATACGACCGACAGGGAACTGGAGTCCCGCTCTGGAAGACCTGGACTTTGCCTTCCCCTTCACTTTGCCTCCCTTACCGCGTCCGGACATGATGCTTTTTGATTAGAGTAGATTCTCTGGGCAGGAACCGTGATTCGGACCGTATTACGGGTTTCCAACGTCAAAGCACGTTTTCTCTAACATAGTCCAACCGAACAGGTTTTTAGCTACCCAGGCAGTTGTTTGGCTACGGATTTAGGCTCGTGTTTCACAATTGTGGGAAATTTTTAAAGTTTGCCGGTCACCACCACCGAGCGGTTTCGAAAATGCCTCCCAAAGCTAGCGGTAAAGCTGTCAAGAAGGCCGGCAAGGCCCAGAAGAACATCACCAAGGGTGACAAGAAGAAGAAGCGCAGGAGGAAGGAGTCGTACGCAATCTACATCTACAAGGTGCTCAAGCAGGTCCACCCCGACACCGGTGTTTCCAGCAAGGCTATGTCGATCATGAACAGCTTCGTGAACGACATTTTCGAGCGCATCGCCGCCGAGGCCTCCCGTCTGGCTCACTACAACAAGCGTTCCACCATCACTTCTCGGGAGATCCAGACCGCCGTCCGTCTCCTTCTGCCCGGTGAGTTGGCCAAGCACGCTGTCAGCGAGGGTACCAAGGCTGTGACCAAGTACACAAGCTCCAAGTAAGCGTCCCCAACGCCATTTGGCGCCATTTGGCGGCGTCGGCGAAATCCTTTGATCGAGATAGATATATATAGCTCTGGCGGAGAAATAAGGGAGTGATTTGAGTATATATGTGGGGGCGTGGCCAACTAGTGACATACTATTGGTCGATCAGAGTGACCAACAGTACGAGCGGATTCGTCTAGCGGACTCTGCCGTTTCAGTTTCGCCGTGGTTAAGTGAGATTTTGCCCGTACTGAAGTCGTAAGCATACCCCGTGTGGTAAGAGTCACACTCGGTTGGTAAACGATTTCATACCATATAACAATGTTTGACAAAATGTAAACAAAAGAATAATAACATGATGATATGTTTTAAACAATAATAAAAATCATCAGTTGGGCTAATGCGCTATCTGACTTTTGATACTAAAAATATTCATTCCATTTGACTTTGGATACAGCTGTGATTTTTGTTTTGGTTTGTAGTAATTATCATTACAGTGTTATTATTTTTATTTAATTATTTATTTATTTTAGGTGGTTCCTACTTTGACTCTTTTAAACTTTCTTCACCTTTTCATTTTAACCACGTAATTTGTGTTTTATAAATTTGAAATTTCATAGAAAATACCGTAACATTTCGTCCCACTCGCTTTTACAGTTGGCTGTATAAGCTAATGGGGTAGGTGACATTTTGGCCCGACGAAAAGAAAAAAAAAAAAAAAAATACAACGGTTGTGGATTGTAGTTCAGGTAGTAAAAGGCCCATGACCTGTATACTTTGCAGCCTACTAGCTAAACCTGACCTAACTTAAACTAACCTAACCTAACCTAACCTGACCTAACCTAACCTAACCTAACCTAACCTAACCTAACCCAACCTAACCTAACCTAACCTAACCAAACCCAACCTAACCCAACCCAACCCAACCCAACCCAACCCAACGTAACCTGACCTAACCTAACGCAATTTGTGGTGAGTCAATTTTGAATCTAATGCATTTTGTTCGTTTTAAATCAAACTGTTATTAGACATAGATATGTAATCACTAAAGGTAAACTTAAACTATTTTCTTATGACATATTACAAAAAAAAAGAAATCAGCATTCTGACACATAACCTTCTCCAATAAGCTCCAATAGTTAAAAATCACAAAATTTGCAATTAGCTAAGAACATATTAATTTTCTTTTAAAATTTTTCTCCAAAAATCCGATATTTCAGTAATTTTTTTTTTTTTTTTTTTTTTTTTAAATAACACAAGTTACAATAACTTTAAACCGTAATTTTTACGAAAATGGGTTTTGAAGCATTACTTTTTAAAGAATTTAAAGGACAATGACATAACTGAATTTTTAAGAGATTCGTTCGAGTCATTTTCGAGAAAATCCGATTTTCCGTTATTTTATGGGGGTTTTATTTAAAAATCCCCATTAAAAAATCAATATAAAAAAAAAATTGAAAAAAAAACCCTTAACAATGTTTAGGGTCATAACGTACTAAGTTAAATCGAAACCGGCTTATTTTCTAAAATACTATTATTATTATTTTTTCTTTTTTTTTCGATGGGGCTTTATGGGGAAATAACATAATTTACAATAACTTTAGGACCGTGGTTTTTACACAAAAGGGAGTCGTACCATTTTTGTACATAGCTTAAAGGGCTAAAACATACTAAATGTTATATCAAAATCGTTCGTGCCATTTTTTAGAAAATCCTATTTTTCAGTTCTTAAATTTTTGACGAAAACAATACTTTATCCATATAGAACATACGTACAGTACAACGGTTTCGTATGGACAGGTTTTAAAAAAAATCCAAAGATGTTATTATGTGAAAAAAAAAAATTGTTATTTTCGACTTTCTCTTTTTATTTCGAACGAAAAAGGATGAATCCTAATAGGAGAAGTATGATAATTCCAATTGAATGTACGCCTTTATCACTTTGCTCTTCGTTATCATTATAGAGTCCTTGGTGTCTTAAATCTTCAACAAGAGTGTTAAGATACGCTCGTTTGGTTGTATTTCTTAAGAATATTGTATTTTAATTAACACACCTGAATTCAATTAACTTGCAAATGACGAAGGTTAATCATGTCAACATCTGAACGATGAACGGTAAACCAACGGAGTAGGTAAGAATGTGAACGTTATAGCTAGTGTAAAAAACGACCGAATGAGTGGTGGCCTTTATAAAGGCCGTTTTTTGCGCTCGACGACGAGGTTCCAGCTTACGCTTTCTTCTCTGTCTTCTTGGGCAGCAGGACTGCCTGGATGTTAGGCAGTACTCCGCCCTGAGCGATGGTGACACCGCTGAGCAGCTTGTTGAGCTCTTCGTCGTTACGGATTGCCAGCTGGAGGTGACGAGGGATGATTCTGGTCTTCTTGTTGTCACGGGCAGCGTTGCCGGCCAACTCGAGAACTTCGGCAGCGAGATACTCCATGACGGCGGCCAAGTAGACGGGAGCGCCGGCACCGACTCGCTCGGCGTAGTTGCCCTTGCGCAACAGACGGTGGATACGACCGACAGGGAACTGGAGTCCCGCTCTGGAAGACCTGGACTTTGCCTTCCCCTTCACTTTGCCTCCCTTACCGCGTCCGGACATGATGCTTTTTGATTAGAGTAGATTCTCTGGGCAGGAACCGTGATTCGGACCGTATTACGGGTTTCCAACGTCAAAGCACGTTTTCTCTAACATAGTCCAACCGAACAGGTTTTTAGCTACCCAGGCAGTTGTTTGGCTACGGATTTAGGCTCGTGTTTCACAATTGTGGGAAATTTTTAAAGTTTGCCGGTCACCACCACCGAGCGGTTTCGAAAATGCCTCCCAAAGCTAGCGGTAAAGCTGTCAAGAAGGCCGGCAAGGCCCAGAAGAACATCACCAAGGGTGACAAGAAGAAGAAGCGCAGGAGGAAGGAGTCGTACGCAATCTACATCTACAAGGTGCTCAAGCAGGTCCACCCCGACACCGGTGTTTCCAGCAAGGCTATGTCGATCATGAACAGCTTCGTGAACGACATTTTCGAGCGCATCGCCGCCGAGGCCTCCCGTCTGGCTCACTACAACAAGCGTTCCACCATCACTTCTCGGGAGATCCAGACCGCCGTCCGTCTCCTTCTGCCCGGTGAGTTGGCCAAGCACGCTGTCAGCGAGGGTACCAAGGCTGTGACCAAGTACACAAGCTCCAAGTAAGCGTCCCCAACGCCATTTGGCGCCATTTGGCGGCGTCGGCGAAATCCTTTGATCGAGATAGATATATATAGCTCTGGCGGAGAAATAAGGGAGTGATTTGAGTATATATGTGGGGGCGTGGCCAACTAGTGACATACTATTGGTCGATCAGAGTGACCAACAGTACGAGCGGATTCGTCTAGCGGACTCTGCCGTTTCAGTTTCGCCGTGGTTAAGTGAGATTTTGCCCGTACTGAAGTCGTAAGCATACCCCGTGTGGTAAGAGTCACACTCGGTTGGTAAACGATTTCATACCATATAACAATGTTTGACAAAATGTAAACAAAAGAATAATAACATGATGATATGTTTTAAACAATAATAAAAATCATCAGTTGGGCTAATGCGCTATCTGACTTTTGATACTAAAAATATTCATTCCATTTGACTTTGGATACAGCTGTGATTTTTGTTTTGGTTTGTAGTAATTATCATTACAGTGTTATTATTTTTATTTAATTATTTATTTATTTTAGGTGGTTCCTACTTTGACTCTTTTAAACTTTCTTCACCTTTTCATTTTAACCACGTAATTTGTGTTTTATAAATTTGAAATTTCATAGAAAATACCGTAACATTTCGTCCCACTCGCTTTTACAGTTGGCTGTATAAGCTAATGGGGTAGGTGACATTTTGGCCCGACGAAAAGAAAAAAAAAAAAAAAAATACAACGGTTGTGGATTGTAGTTCAGGTAGTAAAAGGCCCATGACCTGTATACTTTGCAGCCTACTAGCTAAACCTGACCTAACTTAAACTAACCTAACCTAACCTAACCTGACCTAACCTAACCTAACCTAACCTAACCTAACCTAACCCAACCTAACCTAACCTAACCTAACCAAACCCAACCTAACCCAACCCAACCCAACCCAACCCAACCCAACGTAACCTGACCTAACCTAACGCAATTTGTGGTGAGTCAATTTTGAATCTAATGCATTTTGTTCGTTTTAAATCAAACTGTTATTAGACATAGATATGTAATCACTAAAGGTAAACTTAAACTATTTTCTTATGACATATTACAAAAAAAAAGAAATCAGCATTCTGACACATAACCTTCTCCAATAAGCTCCAATAGTTAAAAATCACAAAATTTGCAATTAGCTAAGAACATATTAATTTTCTTTTAAAATTTTTCTCCAAAAATCCGATATTTCAGTAATTTTTTTTTTTTTTTTTTTTTTTTTAAATAACACAAGTTACAATAACTTTAAACCGTAATTTTTACGAAAATGGGTTTTGAAGCATTACTTTTTAAAGAATTTAAAGGACAATGACATAACTGAATTTTTAAGAGATTCGTTCGAGTCATTTTCGAGAAAATCCGATTTTCCGTTATTTTATGGGGGTTTTATTTAAAAATCCCCATTAAAAAATCAATATAAAAAAAAAATTGAAAAAAAAAACCCTTAACAATGTTTAGGGTCATAACGTACTAAGTTAAATCGAAACCGGCTTATTTTCTAAAATACTATTATTATTATTTTTTCTTTTTTTTTCGATGGGGCTTTATGGGGAAATAACATAATTTACAATAACTTTAGGACCGTGGTTTTTACACAAAAGGGAGTCGTACCATTTTTGTACATAGCTTAAAGGGCTAAAACATACTAAATGTTATATCAAAATCGTTCGTGCCATTTTTTAGAAAATCCTATTTTTCAGTTCTTAAATTTTTGACGAAAACAATACTTTATCCATATAGAACATACGTACAGTACAACGGTTTCGTATGGACAGGTTTTAAAAAAAATCCAAAGATGTTATTATGTGAAAAAAAAAAATTGTTATT